TTATTTTCGGTCAGGTTAGTGAGTGAAACTGGCTCGGCACAGGGTCCAACGAGTGGCCGGGCTGGAAGCGAAGCAGCACTTCCCCTTCTGGCACCAGCAAAGTTCAATCAGCTCAGCTGGGACAGTTGCACCATCAAAATAGCTCGCCGCGTGTTTTGACACGTACGTTAACTGATAACCTGATAAAAAGAGGAGAACGCACAGCTCTTGGATGTAGTCACAACTTCCAGAGCGAGGGAAGACCTGACAGCTGGGCATCCTGAGCAAGGTGAGTGCAGCATTAAAGGCAGCTTGCTCCCCTAGCCTGAGCCACCAGCAGTGCGCAGGGGACGTAGACAAACGCAGAGGAGAACGATCTATATCTTTACGGCGCTAGCAAATCTGCTCGAGACAGGAGAAATGCTCTGTTAAACTGAAGAAAGCAAGTAACAAGCACCCAAGCCTTGATTACAGGCTATCATCAAGAGAACCACAGAATTAAAAAAAAAAAAAAAAAAAAAATTACAAGAGGCTTAGTATTTAATGCTCTAAAGTAGTAAATCCACAGCAAATCCTCCTGAATCTAAATATGCCTAAGACATATTTTAACTTATTTTTTAAAGTTTACTCAAACGCCACCTTACGCTCCCAAACAACTAAGCTCCACCGTCAGATTTGCTTTCTCAGTATTCTGCAAATCAGGTTACATCCAGGGCCTCCAGTGCCCTTCTGGCATCCCAAAAGCTCCTTCCAATGAATAGTAAGCAAGCCATTTATTCGTATTTATCTCCCCCTTTAAACCCAAGTAACCCGAAAGAGTCCAACAGATTAAAGCTGATCTAAGCAGTATTTTTTTTTTTTGCAGTTAAAGAAAGTTTGCTCTAAAATTATGCACGCTGCTGACACACAATTTTATCTTTTAAAAACAGAATGGCCTCAGAAAGGTTTTAAAAAGATAAAAGAAATACACCTCCCCATTTGTGCACATTGACTCTGAACAAAAGAGACAGAGGCTGCTACTATCTAGCTAAATGTAAGTTGTTCTTCTCAGTGTTTTAGATTTAAATTAAGTAAAGACTTAACCCAGTGTGGAAATTCATTACTTTTTCTCCAGTGGTGCCTTTTCGTTTTACTACCAGAGTCCACACACACCTTGGGATCACTTTCTGGCTTACTTCTTGTAAGGCTGGTGTGAAAGCTAAATATTACTGTGCCTGGCAAACTTAGTCAAAAGCCTGCCTCGCTCTTTGCAAAAACAAGAATGTTAATGAAAAACAACCACAGTCCACATGGGGGAAAAAAAAAAAATCCCAGCTTATCACATTAAATGGAAGTTTTATAAATACCTTTGGAGGTAAGGAAAACAAGTAGCAGCTATAACACCACTTACTTCCACAAGAGAATTTCCACTGCAAAGGTGACCGAGCTCCTACAGACTGCGGATGGGAAGAGGAGAGCCACACACAGAAAATATACCCTAGCCAGTTGACCATTCCAAGCCAGGGGCAAATAAAGCCTGGCTAAAAGCAATTTCGGAGTATACTACATCCTTGGGAGCATGGTGCCTTACTGGCAGCAGCGCTGTAACCAGGAGAGGGAAAAACACCCTTTAAAAACGAAAACAAGCTATATCAGTAAAAGTGCACTTTTGCAGATAACTGCTTCTACAGCTGGGACTTCTGCTGGCACAGCTATGTCAGTCACGGGTCACGCTTCGTCACAGCGCTCGCGGACAGAGCTGTGCCAGCAGAAGTTTGCCATATAGACCTGGTGGGAAACTCACCAGCCGCTAAAATGAATCTGCAAAGTTTCGTGTTTTTCCTGCTGCTGCCAAACAAAGTTTTTCTAACAGTGTGATGACCGGTAGTCTTACTCCTGTGCTGCTGACACGTTAGGATCTCGGCTTCCAAGGACAGAAGAAACCTAAACTTAGCTCAGGAACGTGGCAATACCTATCAGCCATTTACATTGTACTTTATCCTTCAATTAAATACACAAACTAAATTAGAAAGAGCCCCTGTAGGAAGAAAAGATAAAACGGAATAAATTAAATTCTGCCGTGCTTCAGCACTCGGCGTAGACCGCCCTCGCTTTTAATAGTAAGACAAGAACAAAACTGAAAGTGTTTAACAGGATTTGTTTAGCAGACAGCAAAGCACTGCAAAATTCCCACACTTCAGTTAAACCGAACAGTCAAACTGTAACGGGGCTTTTGTCATCTTCAATCGTCTTTGAAGACAGCGGGCAAGGAGATTTAACGCCCGAATTGACGCTCAAACGTAAGTGCTATTCGGATGAATCGACACGATCCTGCGGGTCGTGTGTACAGTGATGCGTATTGTTATTCCAGAGCACGGAGCAGCAAGATGTCAGAAGCGTGCGCCGCCAATCTGCTCTGGAGCAAAATTACAAAATCGAGCTGTAAATAAACTCCCACCACCCTCCGTGGGGGAAACGAAAGCTACAGGCAAGCGCTTCGGTGCCTCCGAAGCCGCTTGCATTCAATAATGAACAAAGCCGTCCGAAGCGCGGGGCTGTGGAAAGGAGAAGGGCGACGTACGGGAAGTCAGGTCAGGCTGCAGCGCTCGCAGGCAGCGCAAAGTAAACCTCAAATGTAAAGCCTGCCTTTCTCTGTTGTGAGGTATCGCCAGCACGTGGCCGTACCTAAAGCGGGCTGCGTTTCGAAAGAACGACATTTGGCAGTAGAAATTTCACCATCGCTTCCTATTTTGATAGGGAGAAAGCAGAAATAAGATCACTGGCAGCGCTGTGTTTGTAAAGGCCGTGCTCCACCTTCATCAGAGCTTTCTGGCCCTCCGAATTGGGATACAGCTTCTAGCAATTCCTTGGGTTGTGTCACAGGAAGACTTTGTTGCTAGAAATAATGCGGGGTTTTTTTAAGTTAAAAAAAAAAAGCACCGAGGCAAAAACATCTCCAAGGAATGGCAGAGGCTAAGAATAGACACGTTATCACCACTTTCATTATCAGCCACGTCCACGTACACAATAAGTCTAACGGTGAGCGACTTTGGGATGAGGTGTTTTCCCCTCCAGGTTAGTTTGGGGTTGCGGGGGAGCACGTTTGTGCTTGGCTGCACAGCGGAGCCTCACGGAGGGGGACGGCACAGGTACGAATTTAATTGTAGCAAACCCCCCTGCTTAAACACCGTCATCTGAAATTCTTATCAGCAGGCTGGCTCGTGAGAAGTTGTAACTCCCCAAAGCAAATACTTAGCCTATTCAAAGTTTCAAAAATGGCCTGATAAAGGCTGCTTGTCTAAAGATTTCAGAAGGTCAGATGAAACTTGGTGTGGCCACGAAATGGCAGAAAGCAACTGAGCCCTCCGCCATATTTACCAAGAGTACTTGAGTTTAAAAAGCAAGCCCCAAATTGTTAGAAAAACTCAGTGTTTAGGCGCATTATTTTATTTGCAAGCGCCACTGCCTGAGCTTGAACCCCAGCTTTTATCGCAGGTGATGTTCCTGCCGTCTTCCTCGTACGGGACTGCCGCGGACCATTGGGAAAGAGCGGCGAGACCCGTGGTTCCCCAAAAACACCCTCGCCAACCCTGCTGCCAGGGCACCCCCGGCACCGGGCGAAGGTCCCATCGTGGGATGCTGGCCGGACCGGGGGGGATAGGGGCCAAGCGCTTGCCCCACGGCCGGGGTTTGCCCCACGGCCGGGGTTCGCCCCACGGCCGGGGTTCGCCCCACTGCTGCTGCCCTCAGTGGGGCTACGGGGTGAGCCCGGCACCCCCAAAAGCAGCTCGGA